AATAAAACTATTAAGAACTATTACTCTATTCTTCGATAGAATAAACTATAGGACCGCCTTCTAGGCGTTATATAGTTTACCGCGTTAGATACTAGAAACGCCTATTATCTAATTAGAATAGCTAACGAAGAAGAATAGAAAACGATATTCTAAATAAGATAGGAAGTCTACGAATTTCTAGTTATACCTTTTAGACTTACTAATATACTATTAACGTTTTAAGAATTTATAAATAATACTCTAAGAGAATATTTAGATATATTCGTTATTATTTACCTCGATAATATCTTAATCTTCTTAAGAACTTACGAGAAATATATAGAATATATAAAGAAAGTAATAGAAAAGCTAAAGGAAAATAAAATTCTACTTAAGCTATCTAAATATAAATTCTATAAGAATAGTACTAGATTCCTAAGCTATATTATATCTTTAGAAGGACTCGTACTAAACTAAGAAAAAGTCCGAGCTATTAATAAATAGCTAGAACTAACGATAATTAAGGAAGTATAAGCGTTCTATAGAATAATTAACTATTACCGAAAGTTTATTAAGGACTTTTCGAAGATTATAGTACTAATTATTAACTTAACTAAGAAGGAAATAATCTTTAATTTCGGGGAAAAGTATAAAAACGCCTTTAAAGAGTTAAAGCGAAGAATAACGACCGCGCTAATCTTATATATTTTCGACCTAGAAAAGAAAGTAATCGTAGAGATAGACGCCTTAGATAAAGTAATAGAAGGCTACCTTAAATAAAGAAATAGATAAGGGAAGCTTTATCTAGTAGTATATTACTTAAGAAAGTTAAGCGAACCCGAGATAAATTACGATATTTACGATAAGGAACTACTCGTAGTAGTAGAGTACTTAAAAATATAGAAAGTATACTTAGAAGGAGCTAAATATCTAGTATAAGTATACTTAAACTATAAAAATCTAATCTATTAAATAATAACTAAAGAACTTAATAGAAGATAAGTTAGATAGGCTAAAACTCTAGCCTCTTACGATTTTAAAATTATATATATTCGAGGAACGAAGAATATTATAGTCGACGCCCTTAGTCGAAGAGCGAACTATATAGAAGGACTAGAACTCGAGCTAGCGGCGCTACTAGAGAAAAAAGGAAATTACCTAATATATAGAGGAATAGAAACGAGAATACTTATAACTCTAGAAATAGAATTAATAACGGAATAAAAGTAAAAAATTATATAAGTAAGGTATAATAATAAAAGTACGGAATACCTAGGTATTAATAAAATAATCGAACTAGTAATACGAGACTTTACCTAGAAAGGATTAAGAAAAGACGTTAAGGAATACGTTAAGAATTACGATATATATTATAAAGCTAAATACTTAAGATATAAACCGTATAGCTTATTATAATTAGTAGAAAATATAGATAAAGTATAGTTAAGGATAGTAATAGACTTTATAGTTAAGCTACTACTATTAAAGGAACCTATAACGAATATAATATATAACGGTATACTTATAATAAACGATATATTAATAAAATATATTTACCTACTACTATATAAAGAAGTATCGATAGTAGAGGAACTAGTATATATAGTTATAAGAATAGTATTCGTATAATATAGAATACTAGAGGTTATTATTATAGATAGGGATAAACTATTTAATTTATAATTTTAGTAATCGTTAACCGACCTACTAGAAATAAAATATAAGATATCTATATTATATTATCTATAAACGGACGAATAAACGGAAAGAACGAACTAGATAATAGAATAATACCTACGGTACTATATAGACTACTAATAAAAGAACTAGATAGAACTATTACTAATAGCTTAATTCGCTTTTAATAATAATATATTAGTAACCGGAATATTACTATTCTTTACGAATTATAGGAGATACCTAGACTTTAAGAAAAAACTATTAGGCGATAGATCTATAGTAGAAAAGGTAAGAATAAAAGTAGAAGACTTATATAAATTATACTTCCTATTAAAAATAAAACTAAATAAAATATTAAGAATAACTATAAAAATAGTAAATAAGAAAAGATCTAAGGGACTAGACTTCTAGGAGGGAGAGATAGTTTACGTTAATATAAAAAATATAAAAATATAGAGACTAAGTAAGAAGCTAGATTATATAAAAATTAAACTATATCGAATTAAGAAAATACTAGAACTAGTCTCTTATAAGCTATAACTACTAGGAGGACTAAATATATACTTAGTATTCTATAAATTACTACTAGAGAAAGTACTAGACGAAGCTAGACTAGAACTAGTATATATTAATAAAGAAATCTAAGAACTCTATTATAATATAGAAATTATACTCTAGTATAGGTAAGAAGATAACTAAATAAAATATCTAATTAAATAGTTAGGATACCTAGAAGAGGAAAATACTTAGGAACTAGGAATAAACCTTAACCCGAAACTAATTACTCGATATTATTAGAAGAACCTAGGACTTATTCCTAATCTACTAAATTAGTTACGAACTAACTATTAAAAATAAACTCGAGTTTAGTAAAGGCTAATTCGTAGTTAATACCGACGGACGTCTCTATAGACTCGAAGACGCCTAGTACTTCTATTTTACGACGAAGTATATAACTAGACTACGCCTCTAGTTAGGCTATAGAATTCTAGAGGTCGCTATCGAACTCCTCGGCGTTAAGAAGGTCCTTCTAGGCTTTTAATAAAACTTAACGAAGCCGAACGATCTTACGACGTTTCCGGCGGAATTTAGATTAAAGCTATTTCTTTTACTCCCTAACTTTTCGGAATTCTTCTACGGAAAAAGTACTATCGTAGTTTCTTTAGTACCTAAGATATTTAGAGTATTTTATCGACTACTCTCGATTATAAAAATAGATAACGTTATAGTTAATATATTCGGTATAGGCGACTATAGCGGCGTTTTTAGGATCGGAAGATATAGCGTTCGTAATCTTAAGGCGACGCGCGTTCTAGTTACGGACGAGTTTAGAAGATCGGCGGCTCTTCTTAATACCTAAGGGCGATATAGTTAGCTATAAAAAGAGAAGATAGGAAATATAACGGAGGGGGAGCGATTACCTTAAGTATATTAAGAATAATGTAGATAGAAGGAGGGAATAGTATTACGGACTAGATTATAGATAAGGTCGCTAGGATAGGCGCTCTACATTCTAAGGGATAGTTTAAGGAAGGTTAGTCGATAGAGGACGAGGCTATATTACGTAACCTAGGGATACATTACTATATTACTACATTACTTCTAATGTACTAATATACTAAAGTAGTATTTTAAGTATTATATATATACGCTCCTTTACCTAGATAGTATAGT